AGCGTGCACCTCCCGTTGCCATTGCACAGGTCCGGACAGCCATCTGCGAGGACAAATGGACAAGGTGAGCCCCGGGCACCCCCTCCCCGCTGCGCTCAGGCCTTGCTACTGTGCAGACAAAAAGGCTCGGTCCTGCCACCGCCGGGAACGCTCGGCGAAGGAAGGGACACCCTGCAGCAATGGGGATCTAGCTCAGAGCCCTACTGCTCTAACACCTGTCTGAAGAACCCTCTAAAGGTCCAGATCTTGAGCTGATAGAAATGACAGCCTGCTGACAGAAGATCTGTCTCTTATTTTTCCCTCTGTATGTGCGTACACATCTTTTTCAACAAGCTCGTCAGTGCTCAGAGGACTTTTTGTACTCAGTGTTGCATGATTCTCCAGAATAATTTATTTAAACTTTGTGTCTAAACACAAAGTTTAAATAAATATTTTTATCTATTTAAATAAATTAATTTTTTCCTCCATTGATTGTAATTTTCGAATACCTACTTATTTAACACTAAGTTTACTAATATTTTGCTGTCACATCTTACACTTTCTGAAAAACATATTAAAAATATATCCCCTCAAAGATGAGTGGTTTTGACTATGAATATGACATGACTTATTGTATAACAAGAGCCAAATTAGGAAAAAAAATATTAATTAGCTAAGCTACTTACATGTTCTATCAAATGTCCATAGGTGATAGAATACCTCACCTCCTTTCTCCTGGAAGTAAATGAGTCCCAGGAGACATTACAGTATCTTACTGAATATTCATGATGAGAAAAGGTAAGAAAACCAAAGTGCAGCCTTGGTTCATACATCCAGATCCATCAACACCCAATCCACACAAGCACAGCTATTTTTTGTCTGTGGGGTGACAGAAGATTTGAGGCCAACCTCTCAGAGCACCTCTTTGAGCACGAGGAAGGCTGTGCTGCCTGACAATAGGTGTGTGCCTTTACAAACCTGTTCAGAAAGCCACAGCTCTGAGTTTGTCTCCTCCTGCCCCTCCCAGCTGCCTTGGCTGTAGCCAGGTGAAGTCAGAGAGCAATTTCTCTGACCCCAGACTCATTCTCACAATGCTGCAGCAGCTTCCCATACAACAGAGTGATGCCCCTGGAACTCACAGCTGGTATCACAAGAGGTCAGAGACTATTCAGTTCATGTTACACAGAAAGCTGTTGGCAGACAGAAACGAGTCCTACAAGTTGTTGTGTATTAAAAAAAAAAAAAGTCTCTTTCACTTAAATTTAGGATTATTTTGCCACTACATATCTTAGCTTAAAAAAAATCAGTTACTTTTGCAGGACAGGTAATAGATTTTCAAGACATTTCGTTTATCTCTTCCATTTGTCAGGTTGTTTGAATGACCAATATGATAATGTTTGAGGGGCGGCATCACAGTGTAGGACAAATTATTTGTTTTAAATGAAAACCAAACAGTAATTGTGAATATACCCATGTGGTTGGTTTTCTACTGAGGCACCGACAAGAATTAAATCACTGAAGCAGTTTGCCTTGCAGCATCTGAGCAAAATGAAAACATGAACAGTGGGGAGCTAGCAAAATCCCTGAAAAGTTTTAAGTGCAGCTGGGGATTAATGGACATGACTTTGCGTTTAGAGAAGAGAGGGAAGGCAGCACCAGTGCCACAGACATGGTGTTGCTAGGAAACACGATGCTACCTCCACAGAGCTCATTTAACTGCAGCCTTCCAAAGGCAGAGCTGGGGTTTGAGGAGCATAAATATCACAAGGAAGGGAAGGAGCAGCAGTACACTACAATAAGATCTAAGTGCTTGGACAATAATGTCTTCCTTAAAAGATCTATTTAGTTCATGATGAATTAGCTTTGAAACAGCTTTAAGTAATGGACAACTAATTAGGTGTTTTGCATGGTTATGTCTCCGTACATGCCTGTGTGAATCTATGGATTTCTGGTTTTGCCTCTCTTCAAGCAAGTATCCATATAGCATTCTAGTCTGTTAGACCAGCCAGAAAACAGAGGTCCATTATGATGCAGTAATAACAGTTTTCTTCTAAAAAAGGCTTATATTTAGGAATTGCAGTAATAACAGTTTTCTTCTAAAAAAGGCTTATATTTAACAATTGCACTGCCTATCTCTGTTTAAATCTTCCTACCAGTGCATGTGAGCAGTGATTGTTACTGATGAACACCTGCACACACAGGATTTCCACATATCTCATGGGCTTGGTGGCCACCAAGGGGTTTGGAGAGTGGACAAGGTGACCAAGTGCCTGCCTGAGGAGCCTTGAGAGCCCAGGCTCAGTGGCACAGCTGGACACACACACAGCCTTTGCTGGCCAGGCTGCACCCCCAGCTCTCCCTGCTTTGGCAGAGCCTGCCTGCATTCTGCAGCCACACTGAGCCTGGGGAATCCTCCCAGAGCTGCACAGGGCAGGGCTATCAGCATCTCATCTCAAGAAGCAATCCAGTGTGGGATGGAGCTCTCACTCACCGCTCAGCAAAGGGCCCTTGGTGCTAAGCAGACAGGTTGCTATTCCTGGTGTGCAGAGAAATTCTCCTCATCTTTTCCATTACAGTATGCTTAATGGAAAATGTCAAGAAGCAAGGTTAAAAAAGAAGAAAGTGCTTGTTTAAAGTGCTAGATTGACAACCTATTTATTCACAGAACAGGCAGAGTACAGGCAACAGCAGTTCGAGTGTCTCACACTTTTCTAGCTGCTGCTGAAGGTGAAACACTAATGCAGCCTCCCTCCTCTCTATCTCCAGCTTGCCTGTGGAACTGGAAGCTGAAAACTTTACTGCAAATACATATGAATTCATAATTAAAACAGCAAGAAAGATTTCAGAAAGATTTTTCAGTGTTGCATCAGGAATCTGTGATGAGCATATGAGAGATATCAGAAAGCAAAAACCATGCTATGGACTGTGCTTGGTTCAAAAATGGAGGGTGCTGGATGTATTTACAAGAGAATACTCCCAGCTTTCATCTACAGTGAAATTATTCTGAGATTAAATTGTAAGGTGATTAATTCATATTTGAACTCAACAAATTAATTTCCAGTATCTAGGCAGTACATTAAGAATTCTAATCCAATTTTGGATAAATTCTGCACAGACTTCCTTTTTGCTCTGGTATTCCCAAACTTCAGGGATACAAGTACACATGTCCAGCTTCACACACATATATGGATTTTCCATTGCATAAACGGCTTTAAACTCTAAACCAAACATTTTAAGCAAACTAAACCATAAAGTCTGCCCAACAAATTTGTGGTTTCAGCCAGAATCTTCAGAACTCCCACTTATGGTGGGGCAAATCTTTCTCCAAAAAAAGGAAGGGAAAGAGCAGCCAGAGAAAGAGAAGTTAGAGAAACCTTTCTCTTTATAAGTTTCCAAACTCTGATGGAAGAGGTAGTCTCTTAGTATAATGGAAAGGAAGAAAAAGAATAGGAGAGATGAAGGGAAAAAAAATCTAAGTGGTATCTCAGAGCCACTTAGAGAAAAGCATTATGCTTTTAGCCTCTGGTCAGTTTGTACATGGAAAAATAGAAGTAAATCAAGAGTTTGTGTCTTTTGAGTCCTTCTGATGCTGTGCCATCAGCCATTTATTCTGCAAACAGCACCTCCCAGCAGAGTGGGCTCCCAGCAGCTGTCCCCATTTAGGGCACATGGGCACAGCTACATCTGGAATGTGATATCTCCTGTTTATCTTTCCACATGACCTCATCTCACACACCCTGATCCAAAGCCTGCTGGCACTCACTGGAGCCTTTCCAGTGACTTCAGCTGGGGCTGGATCAGGTGCTCCTGTGGGTGCAGAAGCCCTGCAGGGAAGAGTATGTTCTACACACAGTGTTTTCTCACTCACAGGATGAGCACGAGTTTCAAGGGGAACATTTAAATTACATTTCAATCCTCATCTTCTCATTAAAGCTGTTAACTACAGAACTGGAGCAAATAAAAGTAGTCTGGGATATGATGGTACCTAAAGAATTTAGAGAAATGACATAAAAGCAGTAATGACAATAGCCTGTTTAATTTGGATTTTAGAGGATAATCACTGTTTCCATATTTTCTGTTCATTCCTTCGGTGAGCTGCTGGTATGCCTACAGCTATCTAATAATAAATGAGCTACATAGAATGAGGTACCTAGCAACACTGAAAATAAAATCATGCTTTTTATTTGCTATTGTTATTTTTTAATCCTTCAATTCCAAAGCCTTCAGGGCTTAGTTAAAGCCAAAGAAAGGGCATACAAATAAAAATGACACAGTGTTATGGTAGGCACAGGCACAAGTCATTTTCTACAGAGTAATACTTCAACTGAAATAAACTCACACCCCAAACACGGAATGAAACACATGTCAATGAACCAGAGTGTTGGTTGAGTGGGAGGTGAGGCCCCTGTGAGTGAGTTTTGACAGTTCCAGAACAGGCTGGAGCCATGCAGAGGCACCAGCCCAGGGCTCTGAGGCAGGGCAGTGACACTGATTGACAAATTGCTGAGAATGAAGCCAGGCTCTCAGCACAGAGCCACTGCCATGGAGCACAGCAGAGCTGCTGCTTCCACACAGGGCTCACACACAGCAGTGCTCTCCTGGCACTCGAGGGTTTGTCACCAGCAGGCTCTCACTGGCTGCCTTGCTATTTCTTTTTTTTTATAGAAAAAAAATTTTTTTAAAACCACTCAACACCCTAAGTATTTCATTAAGCAACATACCAAACAAAGAAATAAAGAATAAATATCTACTTGCACATGTGCTGCGCAGATGAATACATGCCTGAGTTAGAACTACAGACTGGCCCAGCTACAATTGCATTTATTGAACTGGCTGAAAAAAAAAAACAACCAACAACAGTCAAAAAGTATCTTTAAAGAGCCCTGAAATCCTCCACTCCAATACTTCCTGTGCAGATAAACAATTAGAAATTTTAAGTAAGATTTCTTAAATTGCCTGGGATATGTATTTCATAACAGAATTATCTATCCTGCAATTCCAGACTTTCTTGCATAGGGACAGGAACTCAGGGAACACCCAACTCTCAAAGCAGAGAAATAGGAG